CGAAGGGGCGGGGGGGTTCCGGCCACGGACTTGGCCGTTCCCCGGCGAACGGGGCCCGGCGGGCTCCCGCCGCCCCCCCTTTCCGGGCCGGATCGGGGGCGGCGGGCCCCGCCCGAGCTCTTTTCCCCGACGTCCCCGGGCGGCTCGTAGTGCCAGTCGGCTGCCGCCGCGCCCTCTTGTTCCACCGGGTCGAGGAAGTCGCGCCGCGAGAGGAGCGGGGGGCCGTCGGTGGGTCGGCGAGCGCGCCCTTGCGCAGGAAGAGGAAGAGCTCGACTACCGTCTCGTCGAGCGCGCTCAGGCCGAGCCAGCGGAGGCCGGTCTGCAGCTCGGACCAGGAGACGTGCGCATCGCGGTCGCGGTCACACGCGGCGAAGAAGGCGGCGGGCGAGAGGCGCCGACGGGCCATGAGGCGGCACACCCGCGCGAGCAGCGCGCGCAGGTGCAGGATCTGGTACTCGTCCTCGGTCGTAAGCACCCGCGCCACCGAGTGCTGCCGCCAGTCGGCGTGCCGCCGGCGGCGACAGTGGCGGATCGAGGCGAAGGCGTTGCGCCGGTGCACCATGCCGTTGGACTGCAGCGCGCGGAGCAGCATGTTTGCGGGCTCGGCCTCGTACTGCAGCGACGAATCCAGGAAGCGGAAGCACTGGTGCGCGATGCCGCCGAGGTAGTCCTTGCCGCCACCGCCGTTCGCATCCGCGCCGGGCAGCGACGCGTCCACGAACGCCACGGTGCCGTCGAGGATCCGCCCGCCGTGCCGCAGCGCCAGCTCGGCTCGCGGCGCGGCGGCGAGGCGGCCGCCGGGGCTGCGCCGCGCCGCGTGCAGCGCGGCACGCAACGCCTCGGCCTCGGGCAGGGAGACGGCGACGAGGAAGCGGCCCGTGACGAGCTGGTAAAAGGCGTGCGACCGCAGCGCGCGCTCGAGCTGCTCGAGCGAGGCCCGCCCGTCGGCGTCCGTCTCCACCGCGCGCAGCAGCTGCGCGAGCCGCCCCTCCGGCCCGGTGGCACACACCTCCAGCTTGAGCGCGGACGCGTCGCTGCCGCCCGCCCCGTCCTCGCCCGCCCCCCCCGGTGCCGCCGCCGCTTGCCTTGCCGCGGCGGCGCCCACAGCGCCAAGGGCCCGCTCGAGCAGGCTGCTGCCCGCGGCGGCGGCCGCCGCTGCCGCCGAGGCGGCGACCCTTGCGGCGGCGGCCTGCGGCGCGACGTCCACGTCGAGGGCGTGCAGCACGCGCAGGATGTCGGCCGTGTCGAGCCGCCCGTCGCCGTCGCCGTCAAAGAGCGCGAACGCGTCCCGCACGCGTCGCTCCTGCCGCGCGGTGAGCGGCGGCGGCTCGGTGGTCCAGAGCAGGTCGGGCGCCGGCAGCAGCTTGGCGGCATCGGGCACCCAGTCGAGCACAAGCGAGATGTTCTTGAGGCGGCGCGGCTTGGCGGCCGGCTCGGCCGGCGCGAGGTTGGCGGAGAGCTGCACAAACTCGGGCAGGAGCAGAGGCGGCACGGCCTCGCGGCACATGACGGACGAGCGGAAGCGGCGCGCCGGGTAGAACGGGGCGGGCCCGGGCGCGCCCCCGTCGGCGCCGCACGGCTCGCGCAGCGCCGTGAGGGGCCACGGCTGCGGCGGCGGCGCGTCGCGCGCCCACGCCTCGCGCGGGAAGTCCTCGACCGCCGCGACGGCCATCTCCACCTCGGCGAGCTGCTCGTGCGTCTGCTCGACCTCCTGCTCCTGCTCCTGCTCCGCGACCACCTCGGCGACCAGCTCGCGCTCCGCCGCCGCCATCGACATGGACACCACCGCCGAGGCGCCGGCCGCGACGCCGGAGCCCGCGGAGGAGAGGGCGCGCGCGCG